CAGTCTGATGTTGCGTAACCGTTATGCCGCGAATTATTATAAGAAATTATATTGTTATAGTTAGAAAAAGGCTGTATCTTATCTTTCCTGATCAGAATTCGTAGATAATATATATATTCTGGCTGATCATCGAAAGTTTTTACCCAGCTTGTGTTGTGTGCTGTTCATAGGGCAAGGATTTGTATGTATTTACAGTTATTTGTATAGTTTCGTATACCCTTTTTTCATGAGGCGAAATGTGGAGATTTTGTTCCGACCGATTCGTGGTTTTATTCAGAATATTCCAATTAATTCTGTTAGTGAATTGATTATTACTGTACATAAAGCACTGGAATGAAAGAGTCGCTCATAGTCGCTCCTTTGTCCAGAAACAGTTTTCTTGTTTGTTCAAAGTTCACAGACGACCTGCATAGAGGGACAATCCTCCATAAGGAAATCTTGCAGAAATGGAATAAGTTCTGTGTCCAAACTGGAGGAAGGCCTAACTGCAGTTCGAAACTGATGTTATTTGATTCTTGCCCGGACAAGTGTGAAGCATTTTTGGCACCTTTGTCAGTTAAGGAGCTTAAGGAAGATATAAATAAAGGTCAGTTACAGCATAAAGGCTGGAAATTCTAAGCAGTACTTTGGTCTCTGTAATAAATCAAGACGAACTCGAGTATACTTTTCTAGAATTATGTGGCGACAACTGCAACACAAACTTTGGAAGGGTAAAAAGGAGAAAGGAAAGAAATGTACGAAGTTCACTGAAAAGAAAGTTTCACAGAGAAATTTTGGGTTGTGCTGCACATAAAATACACAACTGTCTACAAACAACAGTTGATGCCATGCCGACACGCTCAAGTTATTGTGGTGAAGATATATCGTATACACACAGTGCGTGTTGCACATTTGAAATCCTTCGGAGATTTTGCGGCACGTAAGAACTGGATTTATTTTATTTTCCATCTTTCTGACACAGAAGATTCAAAGCCTGGAGTCACGCTTCTGCTCACAGGAACAATACGTAAGGAGTTTTATGAAAAAATAAAAATTCAACACAAAAGTACTCAAAATACATTTTGATGAAAAGTATAAATGAATGGTTTATTTTTTTATTATTATTAGTGTTCTGTCTGACGACAGGTCCATATGAACAGAATCCTTCCATCCTTTTCTCGGACTGGGACCTGTTCATATACGTTCTTGGCAGATGATCCAGAAGTGGTTTGCCATTGCCTTCTTCTGTGTGTGAATGGAGTAATTGTTGGGATGCCACGGAGGAAAACTCCGTGTTGCCTAGACCACGGCCTTGCCCAACACAAGTTATAAATTCGGGCACCGCCGGGAATCGAACCCGAGACCCCAGGATTACAAGGCCAGCGTTCTAACCGCTAGACCACCGTAAAAGAAGTGATAAAACTTGTTACTGCAAGTTATTATCATTTATCAGGAGAACAATTTGATATCTCAAGTAATTATTGTCATTTTCCATTTAGGTATGAATATCATGAAGTATAACAGTGGTACATATATATACATATGCAAAGAAAGTGCATGGATTGACGTGAAATTCGGTTGTATATCGTGTCAAATATTTAACCTTACCTTTGTGTGTTTGGTTTTTATGTTATAACATAATAACAAGGGTGATTTTGTCTTAAATAAACTCGTAACTTGCCTCACGCACAACTGATCATTAAATCGGCCTATTTAGGTAAATACTGAGCCACTATGAGGTGTGTCGCACACAAACAGTCCGGTTCAGTGCGCCGGCATATAGGCAACACGAAGAACGTAAGTGTTAGTTGGGTTGTCAATACGTACTGGTTCTTTGAAAGCGGTTGGATATAAATAGAAGTTCAGTGCTATGCATAGCTCCTGTATTGGATCTATCGATCCAGCATTGAAGGTCTCTTTACAAGAGCAACTGTAATTGAAAAACACTACAGGTCGGTACTAACAGTTTGTAGATAAATAATTCCAAACATGGCACATTATTTGTGAGCCATTATTTGGTGGA